AGGAGCCTTAGGGTGGGCAGGAGAATGAGGTTGGTTGCGAGGGACTGTCACCAAAATTAGACAAACGGAAGGGGCCAGGAAACAAAAGCCCCAAGGAGGCAGAAGTAGCTTATTTCTTCTCATATTTTTTCTGACTACAAAAATGTATGTGTTCATTGTAGTAATCAGCAGACAGTGTTTGAGGGCTGAGAACTGGCCCCAGGGCTGCACAGAGCGAAGGGAGCCTCAGGAGGTTCTGGGAGCTGTGCTCTAACTTGTATCAGGTACTGGCCATAATCCAGGGACTGGCACCTCTGATTCCTCTCCCAGCCCAGTAACTGTACCAAGGGCCCTCAGAAAGGTGATCCTCCAATGAGACTCAGTTACTTCCCCTGTCCCTCTGGCCTGCAGAGGTGCCTGAGCTGCTCCATGGAAGGGTGAGTGGGGGTGCTGGTGCTGGTGAGAACGAGGGTGGAGGAGAGGCCCTGCACACAGTGTCCACAGGGGACTTGAGATGCTGAAAGTGCTCTGGGACATGGGTAGGAAAGCCTAAAGATAAAGAGACTCCCTAAACCCACTCTGTGAGTGAGAGGCAGGCATGTAGGTAGACTCAGAGCTTCTAAAGCCAATGGCTTCACCAGGGGCTTTGATCACTTCCCACTGGGCTATCTCCTGCCGACACAGTCCAGAGTAGAGATGCCCTGAGCCTACCTTCCCCTGCTCCACATGGGCTTGGGCTTGAACTAAAGATGCCCTTGATCACGCCCAGCCAATTTGCCTTTCTCTCCACCTCTCCTCAGCACAGGTGGGGGCATGGCATATTTGGGGACACTGGCCAGTCCCATTGGTTGTCTTCAGTCTCCACTCATCTACCCTTTCTCTCTCTGAATCTGGGGTCCTCTCCCTTCTCTCCTCACTGTGTTCCTTTGTCCTTCCCTAGTGAGTTATGTTTCGAATGGTGGATTATAGGGAAGGTCCGGTAAAGACAATTTAAGGACCCGTGGGCTGTGAGGGCTGGGTCAATATCTCTGGGCCCAGGACCCCATTGTCTTCCTGGTCACCTGCTCAGTCTGTATGTGAGTCTGGCTTGGATCTGGGATTTCCCCTCCTGGCCCCACTCCAGGGCATAAGACAAGAACCCTGTGTGGGTATTGGAGTGAGGACAAGTGGCATCTTGTCTCCACAGCACCTGGCACTGGGCATGGTCTAGAAAACAGTGCTGTAGGAAGGCCGCCTCCTTTCCCCCCACTGGTTTTGCAAGATGACTGAACAGGCCTCTGCTTTGTGCAGACTTCTTGTGACCTATGTCTATGTGACCTGATTTTCTGCATCTGTAAAACCAAGAGGCAGGTCCTGGTGCACAGAACCCAGATGCTGTTCTCATGACCACCCCATCCCCAGCCCTGGGGTCTTGTCTCTTTCCCCCTCAGCTCCATCCTTCCTGCAACTGCTCCTCCATCATTGGACCCTCCGTGAAGCTCTTGATCCTTCTGCCAACCATCTCCTTTTCCCTCTAGGGCAATGGGTCCTACTCAAGTCTGTGTGCCTTCTACACCTTGTCCCTGAAGTGCAAACTTTGTGGGAGGTGCAGATGTACATCCAGAAGCGGCAACCCTAGCGTTAGTGTCACAAACCCAGATGCCCACGAGCTCCACAGGGAAAGCATGAGCTGCAGCTGATGGGAGAAGACATGCCCTGGGAAAAGGGCAGAGTTGCCCTGAGCTCTGCAAACTGTCACTATGGAGAAGGCTGGTGGGGCCTCCTCTTCAGACACCTGGAGTTTTAAATAAATTGTCCCGATTTTTTAATGTTGGCAACTAAGCAACACGCAGCTAGCTGTCTTTGACTGGTGGGTGCTGGAAGCTAACTCTCTGTGAACACTTAACATGCCAGGTAGTATCCTGATCCTTGCTGCACAGTCAAATCACCATTACTGTCATCACATCTCACAAGCTGGGAAACAGATGCACAAGCAGAGTAAATCACTTGCACCAGATCACAATTTAATAAGTGGTGTCTGAATGCTGGCAGCCTGGGTTGAGCTTCCACAAATAACCCTGTGGCTTTTATCTCTTTCTATGTTAGACTTTGAGTCCTAACAATTCTGTTTTAATGAGCAGCTATTATGCACGTGGTGAATACACATTATCCTGTTCAAGCTTCACAATAGCCCCATGGAGTCTGTGTTAATATCCTTATGTTAGGGGTCATGGGCAGTGACTTTCTCAAGGTCTCTCAGCCTCTGTGTGGAGGGCTATGACTAACACTCAGGTCCACCTGGCTCCAAAGCCCCAGCTCCTTCCATGTAGCCTGATTTCTCTCTGAGTTCCCTAGGGCTAGGCTCAACAGGGCCATTGGGGATGGAGGATACACGTCTGCAGCTTGGCTTCTGAGGCTGCTGGGCAGGGCTCTCAGGGCAGCTTCCTGGCGTGGGGCTCAGTCCAGGGCAGCATGGGTGGGCCTGGGTCTGAGCAGCCTCATGGAGAGGCTCACTGTGCATGGTCCCGCTCACTTCTCTGCGGCGAGAGGCATTGCCAGATCCCCCTCTGGACCATCTCGCTGCCCAGGGCATAGTTCACAGCGTTGATCGTGGGCGCCATTTTGGCAATGAGAGCGGGCACCTGTTGTGACAGAAACATCCAGGAAAGAAGCTTCAAAGCCTCTGCTCCTCTCCCTGGTCCCACCTGGTGACACCAGCTCTCCCCCACCCAAAGCCACCAATCTTTTGTTGTCTGCTTGATTCTGCCAACTCTAAATCTTCCCTGACCAGCTGCCAGATGATGCATGGGAACATGCATGTCTCAGCCCCTGGTCCCAGAGTGCATGTTCACCATCTGGCTGTTTGTTCCTGTCATCTCACATGAGGCTTAGGCAACATCACACAGCAGCCCCATGTGCCCTGGGTGACAAGCAAATTCCCAATGCATTATGAGTGCTCAGAGGAAGAGAGAGAGACTATCATGGAGGCAGCAAAGCAAGAAAGAAAGATGGGATAAGACAGAGAGACGCAAAGATGGAGAAAGTTCCAGCTCTGGGTACTGGAGGTATCTGTACCATCTGCAGCTTGGGGGAGATGGAGGCCACGTCCATGACAGCTGCGTATAGATACAGGAGGGCATAGGGTCCCCAGCAGAGCATCAGCGTTCTGGCTGGCAGAGTGGTGTTCACCTGGGGAGAAATTGTCACAGAATGGAGGCACTGACTTGATTTGGTGGCTGGCAGCCCCATACAGCCCAGGGACCATGCAGGCACTCAGCAGGGCCGGGCAGTGTGACTGGACTGTGGGAAGATTCAGAGCCTGCAGAAAAACTTGGGACCAGATGAACCTTTCTGCTGTTTAAGGTGTGCGACCCTAAGCCTGTCGTTTAGTCTTACTTGACCTCAGGTGCTTTGTCTGTAAAATGGCCTGATAATACCTGACTTGCCTGGAGGCAGTGGGTGGGGGTAGACAATGAGCTTCCTTCATGGTTGAACCCTGGCTTTGAGAGTGTGGCTGTGTGCATGAGCATCCCCAGGCTGAGCTGCCCTCACAACTCAGTCCCAGAACCAGCTCATCAGCAGCAGCTGCAGCCACTTGGCTGGTCAACCTGTCCTGGGTTCAAAGGGGCTGCTTTCCGCAGAGTATGATACAAGTAGGGAGCAGGCAATGTGGTACCATCTGGGGTCACAGGGGAGCGCATGACTTGTGATCTAATTTCAGGATGGAGGTTGCCATGTTCTGCTTCTCACATACTCTCAGATGATAAATTCTGATGCTAAAATTCAGTGCCTATTTTCTCTTGACTATGTTTTCCTTTAACAAAGAAGGTGACTTAAGCCCGCAATCAAGGTTCCTGGGTGACTTCTGCTGATGCTACCAGAACTTATGGTTTAAAGTCCACCTGGAAAAATGAGAAAGCCCATATGCCTGACTTGCCTTCTGGCTGATTGAACCTCCAACAAACGTGGTGACTTTGAGCACTGAGGCAGGGCTTGGAGGTGGTGATGAACAGATGAGCACTGAGCTGAGGGCTTGGGATGTAGTTCTGGCCCCAGCATAGCCCTCGTCAGGGTAAGCTGGTCTCCAGCTAAAGTAGATTTGTACAGTCCTTTTCCAGTTCACAGGGGGAAAACAATGTGGTAGATTAAGTCTCAGCAATGAGAATGTTTCTTTTATGTACCATGATCGACCACTTGGGTGGTAAAGTCCCAGACCTGAGTTTGATCCAACTCCACTGTTCCTGGTTGTGGCTTTTGATGAGTTGCTTAGCTAACCCCTTTCAGTCTCGATTTTCTAGTCAGTGACATAGGAATTATGAAACCTTCCTTTATCTGAGAGTGGTTGCAAAAATGAAGTGACATAATGCAGATAAAATACTATTAGTATCTATTTTTTAAAAAAATCTTTGGTGCTTGGTATGACTCATCTGTTAGAGATTATCCAGGTGACAAAGTTAAAAGAAAATTGTGACAAAGGAATATTAACACAGAAATTTAGAAATAGCGGGTTGGGAGAGGGGCTTACTTTAAAGTGTTGTTTTGCTTGGACAAATGTGTTTGTGATGTGATTTTATGTGGTAACAGCCTGTGCCTGTGATTAACTTAAACATCTCGAAGCAATTCAAAAGCAGCATTTTAAAAGTGTATAATTTTGTGCCAACCCTCACATCCTTGAGACACAAGAAATATAACAGCATGGATGGTGTCTGGTAAGTCTGAGCAGTCCTGTTCCTTCCTCCAGGTCTTAGCTATTCCCAGTGATGACAGGGAAGGTACATTCCTCTGCCCTAACACTGGATTTGAAAGCTGGATTTCCTTCCGATTATAGAAAACACTGAAAACCCTTGATCGCTCTCTGTCGCATCATTCATGTTTCCTGGTGTCCCTGAGAGGGACAGAGAGGTTTCTCCTGCTCTTGAAGTTGGTCCTTACCTGGGGATGGCCAGTCTTCCCGAGTTTCTGCTCCATGAGCCGATAGGATGTGAGCGTGATGAAGAGGGGTAGGACGAAGTTGAAAAAAGCCATGGTGAAGAGAAAGCTGGTGAAATTTCTACAGGCAGAGGGGATAGAGGGGTAAGAGTCATGTCTTGGGGATTACCAGCTGTCTTCAAAGGCCCATCAGCCTTTGCTCTGGACAGTCACGTGCAGGGAACTGCTCCCATCAGATGAGTGCTCAGAGTTGGGTGCTCAGAGCCAGTATCCCAGCTGAACTCCCCTCAGAGCCAAGGAGCCACTAGTTCCTCCTAGAACTTGCCTTTAGGAGCCAGGGAGCTGAGATGAGGGAAAATCCTGTTTCAACTCACTGTTGGGCAGTTCAAGTGCTCAGCCCTGTTCTCTGTGCCCTCAGTATGAAGAATGGGACTCTTCCATTTGGGAGATGCATTTACCAGATAGAGGTGTCAGTGAACCAAGAGGAAGGAGCATTTGAGGAGTGTTCCTGGCACAGGGATTTGAAAGGGGACCGTGGATAACAAAGACACTGGACACTGGGTCACTGAAGAAATCGTTGTGGTCATGGGAGGTGGGAGGGCTGACCATTCATGAAGGGGATACCATGTCCCCTTGGTGCTGTCCATTAAGGATGGGTGGGCAGAAGGGCTGCCAGAATGACTGGACGCAGACTGGAGAAATATCTGCAAGGAGTGTCCTGGAAGGACACTCGGTCCAGGCCCGGGGATCTTCAGTGGGTTTCACCTGGGAAGCCCATCATCAGGGGCAGATGCTTCATCAGTAAAGGTGAGTAAACATGTAAAGCAGATGAGTGAAACGTGGTTCTAGTGGAAACAAGAGGGAGGCCGAAGTGCCTACGGCCATACCACCCTGAACGCACCCAATCTCATCTGATCTTAGAAGCTAAGCAGGGTCAGGCCTGGTTAGTACTTGGATGGGAAGAGGGAGGCTGAAGCCGTTGTGCCCCTCCCCAGGGCAGCCCGTAATGGGTCTCCCTAAGCTCTGGTCTCCCCAGAGCCCCATGAATGGAGCAGTACTAGACATATGCTCTGTGATGGAGAGGCCCTTAAGTATTTGCTCCCACCTCTCCAGAGTTTGGCTCAGGGCCTGGCTCACAGCAGGTGCTCAGGGAATTCAGAGACCTGAATTGTTTGCCAAGGTCTCTCCCAATGCAAAGACTGTAACATTTTTTGTAGCTATTGAACTGAGGACATGACTTTCTCTTGAAAATAATAAATTCAGAGCTGGACAGCTGAGTGTGTAGAAGATGTCAAGGGAGTCATGGGGCTCAGTTGCTGTTATAACCAACACAGGACAATAGCTCACTAGATGATGCTCCTTCTAGGGCCCTACTCTGTTTGCATAACATTTCCACCACTTGGCCAGTATTCAGTCTCACTGTCAACCTGCAAGTGGGTATCATGACTAAGATGTTGAGGTTGTCTAGCAATCTCATTGACATTCCCCCATTGAATTTTCAGTTGTGAAATTGTGGTTGTAAGGGTTCAAAGCCAAGATTCCCATGGAAGGGAACCTCCCACCTCACCTGTCCCTCCTGGAGTAGTCCAGAGTGCAGCATGTCCCCAGGGGCTCATAGTCATAGTGGCCCCAGCCAAGGAGGGGCAGTGCTGCCCAGAAGGCAGAAGACAGCCATACAAAGAGCACCAAGGATACAGCTGTGTTCCATGCCAATTGGCTGCCTGTGTGGACAGAAGAGGAGGATGGTTGAAAGGAGGCAATAGCTATCAGAGTGAAAAAGAATGGACTTTCTGGTTATGAAGAATGGCCCTAAATCCTGGCTCTGATGCTTAATAGCTTTGTTCTTCAGGCGACTTGAGAGTTTCTCAGAGCCTCAGTTTTTTCCTCCACAAAATGAGAATGATATTTCCTGCTTCAGAGGATTGTTATGAAAAATAAAAGAGATAATAGATGGGAAGGTCTCCTAGTAGATATTCTGTATCAGAGGTCCCCAACTTTTTGGGGCCAGGGACCGGTGTTCCTATGAGAATCTAATGCCTGATGATCTGAAGTGGAGCCGAGGCGGTGATGCTAGAGCTGGAGAGCAGCTGCAAATACAGATGAAGCTTTGCTCACTCACCTCCTGCTGTGCGGCCTGGTTCCTAACAGGCCACAGACTAGTACCGGTCCACAGCCTGGGGTTTGGGAAACCCTGCTCTATATCATTTTTTTTAGAGGACAGAGAAAAGGAGGGGTGGCAAGGAGATAGGTATGCTTCTCAAAGCCAAGTTGGGGAAGAAGCATGTATGGTGGTTCAGGTGGTCATGGGGGAGGAAGGTGGAGTCCAGACTTACCGCCATCTTCGGCTCTTGCTCAGAAGCAAGACGCCATCTCTACTTTCAGGATACCTGCTGAGAACTCTCGACTTGAGAACTGGGGCCCCATCTCAGTGCCACTGGTCGAGGCTGGGCCCTGACATTATTTTTTGATGTGACCAGTCCCATTTACCTGACCTCCTCCATTATCCCCCCTCCCATGTCCCTCACAGCCTTATCTAGCTCTTCCCATCCAGTGACTCCACTTGAATCTGGCTTTAGAATGCCTTTCCAAGATGCCTTCTCTGTCTATGGTTTATTTCACGTTCCTTTGCAGACAAGACCCCAGGATAGGGGACAGAACTCCAGGTGGGGTTTGATCAGCAGAGAAGAGCAGGTCTTCAGTGACCCCTTACCCTGAAACTTCACTTTCATCGACACAGCCACAGATGGAATTTGCTTGGATGTGTCCCTCTGCTATGGACTGAATATTATGTCCCCTCTAAATTCATATGTTGAAGCCCTAATCTCCATGTGGTGGTATTTGGGGGTGAGAACTTTGGAAGATAATTAGGTTATGAGGGTGGCACCCCCATGATGGGATTAGCACACTTATAAGAAGAGACATGAGAGAGATGATCTCTCTTTATTCCATGTGAGGGCAAGAAGGCAGCCATCTGCTAACCGAGAAGAGAGAACCCACCTCTGCTGGCACCCTCATCTTGGATTTCCAGCTTGCAGAACTGTGAGAGATAAATTTCTGTCGTTTAAGCCACCCAGTTTATGATGTTTAGTTATGGCAGTCCTAGCTGACTAAGACCCTCCCCACCCCCACCAACTGTAGGCACAATAATTGATATCCATCTTGACCCATGTGTTGCATCAGTCTTTTTGGCTTTGGAAACAGATGACCAAAGAGACCCACCTAAGGTCACCCAGTAATAGAGTAGATAAACTCAGACCCCCTCCTTCCCCCTTCCTTCTGTTGGTACTGTTCCACTGCGCCTTGCAGCACAGGAAGGGCTTTGATTTAGGAACACTGGAACAGGGACAAATGGTTCTACATAGAGGCAGAGAAGTCTGTTGCTGTCTGAGAAGGCATGCATGTGTGTGTGCATATGTGACTCTGTGTGTGTGTGTGTGTGTGTGTGTGTGTGTGTGTGTGTGTGAGAGAGAGAGAGAGAGAGAGCGAGAGCGAGAGAGAGAATGTGTGTGATGGTCCAAGGGAGTTTTGGAGGCAAGGCTGGGCTAGTGGTGGGAGATGAGCTCCAAGGTCGGGTGGAACAAGAAGTGCTAACCTGCCAGAACAAAGGTAGTTTTTTGGCCCGGAGAGAGGCATGTGACTCAAGGGCCGGGTGCTGTGTGTGTCTGTGGCAACGGTGGATCTGCAATTCCAAAGGGGCCATGCCCAGGGCTTAGGCCATGCTGACCAAGGACCCCACAGTGACCTCTGTGCTAGGAAAATCCACAGCTCCAAATATGGAGTCCAGGAGACAAAGGGAGAGACTACCTCCGGAGGTACCCAGGCCATGCCCAATCCCAGCTCTGCTCCTATTAGCTATGTGACCCTAGACAAGCTATTTAACTTCTCTGAGCCTCTGCTTCCCAGTCTGCAAGCTGGGAGTTGCTATGGGTGAACATGTATTTTATCTTAATGTGTATTAAAATTATAAAAACATTAAAGCTGTGATATCACAGATATTATTTAGAACAAGACTAAAGCAGGCATTTACAATTTTTAAAGTGAATCACTTATAAGTCAGAAATATCAAATAAATAACACAGCAGGTGGTACACTGATATGGCCAATTATGAAGATGGTATTGACAATACAGCTTGAGAAATGTAGAGCTACACTGGATTTCATGAAGGCCTGGCATGGCAGAGGCCCAGCACTTTCCTCCAGTCCCATTGTCTCTCTATCCCTCAACAGCGTCTGTCTTCAAGGACATTTTCTGTATCCATGCTCTCATTTGATTTTCAAAATGAAACTGTGTGGTTGTTTACAAAAATCACCATGCAGAGGAGATTAGGGTTCAGAGAGGACCCCTGACTTGCCTGCAGGGAGGGCACAGGCGGTCTTTCCAGCGTGTATCTCAACACCTACATCTCTTGCATTCTCCCAGCCTCCTTCCTTTCCTGAGTGCCTGCACCCTACTCTCATGCACTCTCGCCCCCACCCACATGTCCCTGAACTGGGAAACACTGAGCAGGCCTTTGCCTTGATCACTTTCACTGTGCGGATGTCCCTCCACCCTGGGAACCCAAACACTTACGGGTGCAGTAGTGGTGATAGCGCCCCCAGGCGATGGCTGCGCTGCTGCAGATGCTGGCCAATGCTGTTGTAAATCCCTGGAAGCCATGAGCCTGGCAGCCATCTGAACCATAGGGCCAGTGCCTGTGGGAGACACTGGGCACCAGTGAACCCTCCTTTCTGTTTCTGTCCCTCCTCCCATACCCACCCAGCATCAACTTGAGGGTACCTTCCTGAATGTTGGCCTAGCTCCTCAGAAGAGGGCTTATTATCCTTTTTCCTATGAGGAAACTGGGGGCCTAGAGAGCAAGTCACTGGGGTGAAGGGGTGGAAGCCGGCGCAAACTCTCCAGGCTCAGCACCGTGGTTGGAACAAAGGTTCCAACCTCTCTGCATGACCAGCTGCCTCCATCACAGGAAATGGAACACCCTAGTTGGAAAGACAGCTCATACCTTTATTTCGTAGATGGGGAAACTGAGACTCAGAGAGGAAAAGGCCACACAACAGATGAAGGCAAAGTCGGAGGAAAGACCCCAGGCCTCCCAACTCGGCTGCATGGGCCAAGCAAGAGTAAAAAATTCAGTTGCCTCTTCTTTGCCCTGGGCAGGGGTAGGAGGAGATCACAGCAGGAAATCCTCATTGATTCAGACCCCACAGAGCATTCACACCCAGGAGGCCTCCAGCCTGCATCTGTAGTGCCCGAATGTTCAGTCTGTTTAAGAAAACAATCTTGTAAACACCTTTTGAGGCCATGTTGGAAGACTGGTTTGCACATAAGGAGGTCTTAGACACTTGTCAAAGAATCCCGTTTGTTTTCACAACACTTATTTAGGGCTTCCTATGTGCCAAGTATTGTTTTAAGTTATTTGCAAATGATAACAAGTCAATACTTCCAACCACCATATCAGATAGGTAATAATATCCAATTTATAGTAAAAGCCAATTTATATAATAAAGCCAAGATTCAAATTTAGGCAGCCTGGTTGCAGGGTCCATGTTCCTAATCCCCACAGTCAGTCTGCTCTATTGGTCAGGTTTAAGCAGCTCCTGTGTTCCATAAATTGGCTGTGGTTCTTTGTGGATAGTCTGGAATTCGGATTTAGCCTATTTCAGCCTACACATCCTCTCCCCTAGGGTCAGCATTCTATTGGTAAGAAGAAAGCCTCTGGTCTGGTGCCTAGTGCCCAGAGGTGAGGCCCCAGGAAGGACCCAAGAGCCGAGGGACTGGGGAGGGAGCTGGTACCGGAGGAGGCTGGATGTGGCTGCGATGAGAGCATTCAGGCTGATCCCACTGTCTGCCAGAGCCAAGCTCAGCACAAGCAGGTGGGTAGGGGTCCGCAGCTCTGGATTCTTGCAGAAAGAGAGGATGGTCAGGCTATTGAGGCTGAGACCAGAGAGAGCTGAAAAGAAGGTAGAGGCTGGTATCAGGGTTGGTGAGGCCCACTTGGGGTCAGAACCAGGGGTGTGGGGTGGATGGAGCCTCAGCAACCTCCCTGCACTACCCCTTCACACTCGGCAAGTCCCTCAGTGCAGCTCATCAAACACCTACAAGGTGGGCTGACCCTCAGAGACCGAAAGCCATAAAAACACACCCTGCTCTCTACCACTCACAACCTCATGGGAAGACAGACAAAGAAGAAAAGCAACAAAGTGCAGCATGGTTCATTCTAGATCAAAATCACAGACAGCCACTGAGCACTTATCACATGAAGCCCAGTGCTCAGCAATTTATGTGGATCCTGTCATCCAGTCTTCACCTGAATACTGTCTTCCCCATTTATAGTTGGGAAACTGAGGCTTGGAGAGGCTGGCTAACTTGCAGCTAGTAACTGGTGGAGTTGGGAATGAAATTCAAGTCTTTCAAATTCCAGAATGTCTTCTCTAAGTGCTGTGGAGCAATGTCAAGGAGAGTCTCAGAGAGGAGGAGGCTTTGTGAGAGCTAGGGGGTACCCAGGACACCAGGCAGTGAGGTGAGCCTGAAGGGAGTGGTCTCAGGTGGCAGACAGACCAGACCTTGAATTTCAGCTGGCTCATTTAATACTCTCTGAGCCTAGGCTTCTCTCATCTAACGTAAAGAATGGGGAAGGATCTTGTCTTCAAAACTGTGATTTACTATGAGGACAGGGTACAGAAGACAATTCTAGAAAGGAACAGCATGTGCAAAAACATATAATGGTAAATTTCAAGGCTTGTTTGATGACCTAGAGGGATGCTAGATTGTAAGTTTCCCAGAAGAAAGGAAAAAGGGCCGGGGCCACCAAGACCAGTCTTGTAGCTGCTGCTCCCTCCTCACGGTCAATTCTTGCTGGGTGAGAAAATGTGCTAGTTATTTCTCTGAATCTGCTCTGAACAAGGGCTGCATCCCTATCAACCTAGCCTTGGGCTGGCCCAGCTCCAGGGTCTACAGCCCCAGCTCTGGCCTCAATGAGCATCTTAGGGATTCTGGGTTGAGGCAGGCACATCATGGACCCAGGCCGCTCCAAGAATGGAAATGCTAAGGGCTGAGAGAATAGAGATAGCGGCAGTGATGGGGGTGCAGGAGAAGCTGAGAGTGAATGAACTTAAATTCCCAGGTGTCTATCTCTGCTAGCACTTTTTACCCATGATCCTATCTAATCTTCACCACTATCCACTTGGAGAGTCAGGGCACTGAAGGCCAGAAAGCTCAAGTGACTTGGTTAAAGTCACACAGGTGGCAGAGCTGTCTGTCTCTAGAGACTATTAGGGGCCTGATCATACACAAGATTCTTAGCAGGATTTTCAGAGAGTGAATTAAATTTTCTCCTGGCTCAAAAGACATGAAAAGGCCTGAACCCTGGTTTTTGGTCATGCCCTAGGCAGATGTCCCTCTCTCAAAGTCTCTCTCTCCCTGACCTTTGCCTGCTCCTCTCTCTTGCCTCCTAGCCTGCAGATTGCATTCCACAGGTCCAGGCACAGAGGAGCAGGATTTGGGGACCTCTCTTTTCCAGCTTTGCAGCTGTGGCCCACTGGGTCCCCACTCCACCCCAGGTTCTGCCTGGCTCACCTTCCACCATCAGCACTGTCCCCACAGCAAGCACCTCTAGCTCCCCGAATCCAGTGGGTAGGGACCTGGACTCTGCCATCCTCGCCTTCTTCCCAGTTGGCTTAGCTCTCCTCTGCTCACAAAGCCAGGCCCCTCCCTTTTAAAGGGCCATCCCATGAGCTGGCACATGCAGGTGATTATTCTAGACCTTGGGCTCCTTCTTGCTGCCCCTCCTCCCAAATCATCCTCTTGGCTTAAGCAGAAGGAACTTATTCACCAGTTGGACAGTGCAGCCTTTGTGAAGTGGGAATGGAGCCGTGTTTCATTCATTTTGGCCTCACCAGGCAGGATTAAGGACCCAGAATCCAAATGGTGTGTGGCTGAGAGCCAAATTAGAAAAGTTGCATAACCAAGGGAGCGGTTGGGAGCAAAAGGAGGGATTTGAGCTGCAGCTGTACTTTAGAACTGGTTAAGGGCCAGGTCTTGCCATATCTGTAGGTGCTGAAACACTGAGCACCTATGTGTATGTGTGTGTACATATGTTTGTATCCCCATGTTCACATGCATGTACTCACAGTGAGGAGGAAAGGATGATGGCTGGAAATTCATCTGCTGAAGTAGTCCCAATTGGGACTAGAGACTGGGGTTCTTGTTCTGAATATGCCATTAACTAGCTGCCTGCCCTGGGGCGGGACCATTGGGGTCTTCTCTGTTTCCTCCTTTGCAATGTAAGCACATTTTTGCATGGCCTCTATAAGTCTTGGTTAGAAGAATATATCATGGATATAGCCTTTGGAGCTGCACTTCCTGACTCCCACATAGCACTTCAGCTACACAAGTATCAAAGTCTCCCAAGGCACTGGCTTGGGACAGAGCAACTGCTATCTTCTTGTAAGTGGCCCACGACCCACTAAGAGCTTCGCCTTTTATAAATGAGGTCCTGGTACAAATTATACACTGGCTCATGGTGAAATTTGCATCAGGAAACACTAATTTAGAGCAGCTTAATTCATTTTCAGATGAAGATACCAAGGCCTAGAGTGCTATCAGCAATATAGCTAGTGTTCACTGAGTGCTCATTAAGGGCCAAGTACTGTTCTCACAGACCTTATAATTCCTCCATGAAGTAGATACTATCATTCTTTAGCAAATTGAGGCTCAAAGCCATTAAGAATCGGCTTGAGGTCATGCAGTGATTCACAAAATCTCCAACTCCTGTCCCCTGGGGCTCCTGGTCAAGTGGCTAATTTTATTTCATAAATGTTCATTTCCCATGCCCTTCCTCTTGTAGTCTCCATTTATATCCATGTATAAGCATCCCTCTGATGTCCACATCTTCCTGGAAGCCTTCTTTGGTAAGCCAGTTACCACAGAGTCTTCCCTGATCTTTCCCAATTTCTACCTTGCAATACTGGTTAATACATATGTCAGAGTTTTTTCATGCCTGCAAGATCGAAAAAGACTTCAAGAGAGAAGAGAAAGCAGGATGGGACTGGGAATCAAAAGTGGAGTAAGACAGATAGGAAAGCATCGCCAGCAGAAGGAGGGAAAGGCAGGGATGTAGAAAGGGGCCACTGGCCATTGGTTTGGGGAGGAGAAGGTAGAGGTGGGAAGCACTGAGAAAATCATATTGGCTGAATTGAGAGAGAGAAAAGGATGGGAAGCAATGTTTCCTGGAAGTCAGTGTTGTCAAAACAAGCCTGGCACATAGCCAGGCACTTCATGTGTGCACTGAGCCCCAGGTATCTGCATTGGTCACATCTCACAAGCCTGTCTAGGCCCATGGGCACAAGGGACTGAGGAACTTTCTGGAAAAGCCAAAAGACTCAGGTAGGCATGCTGGTCCAGAGAGCAAAGCCTTAATGAATGAAAGAGTGAAAGATGGAATGAGGTTGGGGTAGGGGCTCTTTTTAATGCCTTCACTGCCTTCATCTCATTGCTTTTCCACTATGAAATAGTGTCACAGTAAAGAATTTCCAATGGTCCTTATCAGAGGCCAAGGTCTATGTTTACCTCCTCTGAGCCCAGGCACCCTGGCAGGTCTGTGCTGCCCACAGCCTGGCTGGCATGGAGTGGCTTTGGAGGTGGGCAGTCCAGCCGCTTTCCCTTGGGTGACTGTTCATCTGCCCCACCTTCTTGTGCCCTGGCCTCTCTGCTACTGAAGGGAATCATCCTCCCCCACCCTCAGGACTGGGTGATTCCAGGAAGCAATAAGCCGCTGAGTGCTGTGGCCAGAGTTCCCCTCCCTAATCCCCAGCCTGTCCATGTTTATCTGATGGCCCCAAGCGGGGGTGCAGGGGGCGGGGGACAAGGAGCCAATGAGCAGATGCTGGGCTTGCTGGGCTCGCAGGACAGAGCAGTCCAGGGACAGACCCCTACCTGGGCTACAGAGGAGCCAGGAGCCATGAGGGTGGTGGTGGGCATGCTCTGGCTCCTGGTCCTCATGGGGTCCTCCCAGGCCCGGGGCTCCTGTCCCTCTCAGTGCAGCTGCAGCCTCCACATCCTGGGTGATGGCAGCAAGGCCAGGTATGGCACCAGGTGTATGGGATGGGTAGCCCAGCCCCCATTGCTCTACCAGCTAGGCCGGGTTGGGAGGGTTGGATGCTGGGCCCTCAGAGTGTGGCCAAGTAAGATCTCCATCTCTCTGGCTTTTGAAACCCAGGGCTCCTATAGGACAGGTCTGCATTGAATTATTGTCCAGCCAGCAGAACATGGTTAAGCCTGGGAGGTGCTAGGTACCTTTACACATGGGGATGGTACCTTTACACAGATGTGCTGGCTCCAAGAAATCCTTCCTGAGTCCTCCTCCAGAATCCTGGTAGAGAGAAACCTCCTTAAGGGCCCAGGAAATCTCCCCTTTACCTCTTTTTTTCCCTCTCCTCCCTTCTTTCTTTCCTTTCTTCCTTCCTTCCATTCCATCATCCTCTTGTATCTCCCTAGCTTCTTCTTTCCCAGACCTCTCCCATTTTCTTGCCTCACCTCCCAGGAGTACCTAATCAGGTCCCATATATTTCTTACCACCCCACCCAGGATAGGACCATCTGCCTCCTCATGCTCTTCCCCTCTGGGTCTTCTCTGGCACAGCCCCCAGGATCCTCAGCTTCAACCCCTTTCTAGGGACTCTCTGAAAGGCCAGGAGTGCTCATTCCATTGCAGACAAGCACCCCTCCCTCCTCAGTCTCTCTTTAATTTTCCTTACCTCCCGTCTGAGCCCTGAGAGCTCCTCCATCCTTTCCTCTTCCCCCTCCATGGACATTTTTAGGCCACTGGGCTTTGTGAACTCTTGCTGTTCCACTATGGCTCATTCTCTCTTTCTCTTTGGCTGTCTTTAAACCATCCTTCCTCTGACCTCTTCAGCTTATCCATTAATGATCATCACATTTCCCATCTTGCTCAAGGATTTCAGCCCCTGGCTCAGGGCCTTTCCCACCATCTTCCCAAGCTTCTGGAATTCCGGCCTCCCTTTCTTGTTTGTCTTAGATGGTTATTGGGGAGCCACTGATGGTTTCTGCACTGATGATCAGGGAAGCAATGTTATCAGTGTGATTCTTTCAGTGATCCTGGCAATGGGTGTGGAGTTGATTGGGTGTGAGGGGAGGCAAAGAGGGGAGAAGCACTGCCAGGAAAGGACACCCCACATGGTCTGAAGAACAGGAAGAGCTCCACTTTTGGTCCAAATCTTTGATGCTCTGACTCATAAATCATCAGAGGTAAGGATCCTCTCCCCAAGGGAATCTAAGACTGAGCCCTGAGCAGGCCAGGAAATAGCCTGTGGCCAAGGACAGTGTGACCAGGGTAACAAGGGGCCTCCCCTGCCACCCACAGAAAGTACAGAGCTTAAAGACACACAGCATCAGTGGCAGACCTGGTGCTAGAACCTAGGGCTTCAATTCCATTTCTAGAGCTCTTTTCATCAGACAGGAACCAGGGGAGGGCTGCTGGTAGCAGTTTAGCCTTAGGATAGAAAATGAAATTCCACGGGCAGTTTTAGGTCCCTTAAAGTCAGCCAGTGGCCATCCCTCCTCTGAAACCAGAGCTCTTACAATCAGTCTCTACCTGCCTGACAGTTTCCGGCTGATATGCACCAGTCCATGTGCATGGAGTATCCATTGAGGGGAATGAGGCCAGGAAAGGCTATAGGGGACCCTGAGGTCCCCAACGACCACAGGCGCAGATTGTGCAGTCAGATGAAGGCTTATTTGGTCTCAGACACCTTCCTCAGCCTCATCTCTAACCAAGGCCTCTCAGAGGGCCTAGCTCATATGTTTGAGCAGCCTGGGCAAACTGTCCATGCTCTATACTCCAATGATCAGAAACAGAGCATGTGTTCCTGTGGGTACTGCGGTTATCTGGGGCAGAAGACAGTCAGAGCACTTGGATAGATATGTTGCCACATTCTTTGTGCCTACTTTTCCCAAGCAGGAGTTGTGCTGTTGGCCTATGCTGGGCTCTTATTTGTTTTTTTGATCCTTCCATGACCATTTTCTCTCCCTTCCAAGACCAATTTTCCCATGAATCCCCTTCTTCCCTCCTACATCCTTCCTCCTTGCATCATCCAAGCCTCTATTATCATTGAAAATATCATTGACTCCAATGCTCCTCTGTTCTTAGCTAGTGTATAAGCTGTGTGGGGACAAGGGCCGTGAATTTGATATTCTTCTGAATCTTCACAGCACCCATCACTCAGTAGGGGTTCCATGTATATTTCAAGAATATGAGTGAATGGAAAGTAATTGTCCCTTTTGTGGGCATCTTTGACAAGAGAAAAGAAAGCCAAACCCAGCTGACTTGAGTAGAGTTAAACTGATGAATGCTGGCGGAGTGTGTTGAGCAAGAAGGCCTGATATGAGCAACACTGTTTTGATATTACAAGAGAATAACTTCCCTTCACAAAGCAAAACGACTCCCCTTCCTCCAATGCGAGCAGAGAAGCCCTCTTCTTCTTGACAATCCTCCCCTTTTTACTTAGTGTGCTGCTCTCTGTGATAACATATAACATGGCCCTGAATTGTAGGGTCCTTGAGGGCAGGACTGCTTCCTGTTATCTGTCCTCTGCTTTAGTACCAAACTTAATAGAACAAGGTTTAAGATGTCACTGTTTGGATAGAAGGTGCCTTGGAAAGAGCTGGTAAGACTGACTCAATCTACTTGCAGTGCTGGGATGCAGAAATTTATGACAGTGATCAATAGCCCTGGGCTCCTATGGGTGATAGAATATGCAGAGCTGGTACACACATGGCCTCATATAAACCCCTAAACTACCCTGCACCATGGAGTCTACTATTATGGGGAAACTGAGGGAAATAGAGGTTATGTAATATACTCGAGGACACACAACCAGCAAGCACTGAGACTAGATGTGAAACCAACTGCTGGGCTGCAAAGTCCTGACTCTTAAACACCTTGAGCATCTCATGCTTCCTCAGAGTCAGGAGAGGTTTGAGGCACCCCATGATTTCCACTTTTGATGCCCTTGGCACATTTTTTTCTAACGAAGAAAAGCCAAAATGGTACAAAAATTGAAGTATAATTTAGAAAAATGAATGCTTTTAGCATATATATGCAATGGGATAACACACAAGATAATCTCAGTATTTATGAACACTATTCATCCTTAGTGCATTGCAGTTGGTGTGGGCTGCAATAGGACACAACAATTTAAGCTTGAGGTCCTTCCTGCCAAAACCAAATAGTCCTCCGAGGACCCCGTGAAAGGCTCTTAAGCAAGAAGAACCCTTCTCCCCTCAAAGAGAAAACAGAAGCCTGCTTATTTCCAGCCCATTTCCAGCTTGGAGCCTGGATTTGATGTTCTGTGTTCCCCTGCAGATCAGCAGGCCTCTCGAAGGGAAGTCGGGGAGGGAGGTATCTCCGACCCTACAGGACCCTTGCTCAAATATCCCTCACTTTTGTGACTAGGACTGTGGTGTGCAATGACCCTGATATGACCCTGCCCCCAGCGTCTGTCCCTCCGGACACCTCCAGACTGCGCCTGGAACGGACGGCCATTCGCAGGGTGCCGGGGGAGGCCTTCAAGCTGCTGGGCCACCTGGAGCAGCTGTGGCTACCCTACAACGCCCTCAACGAGCTCAGCGCCCTGATGCTGCGGGGTCTGCGCCGCTTGCGCGAGCTGCGCCTGCCCGGGAACCGCCTGGCCGCTTTCCCTTGGGTGGCGCTCAAGGACACCCCCCAGCTGCGGCTGCTGGACCTGCAGGCCAACCGCCTCTCGGCCGTGCCGCCTGAGGCCGCGCGCTTCCTGGGGAACCTCACCTTTCTCGACCTCTCCAGCAACCAGTTGATGAGGCTCCCGCAAGAGCTGCTGGCTACCTGGGCTCACCTGCAGACTGGGCCCTTCCTTCCTGGACACCGCACCAGGATGGTTCTAGGTAAGAGAACGCATCCTTCACTTGGAACCCCTTTGGGGTCTTAGGCACCATACTGAACCTCTCTGAGTTTCAATTCTTTACCTGGAAAATAGAAATCACACCTGCCTTCTGCATTTGAGTGAAAACTGAGAGGCACATATTTGTAGGTTTAGGAACTGAAGCGCACAGTCAGACTGCTGCAGTTGAAATCCCGGCTCTGCCTCTTACTAGCTATTGTGTCTTTGGTTTCCTTTTGTAAAGAGAGGTTAATAAAAATATCTATCTCAAAAGGTTAGCGTTGTGGTTGTAAAGACAGTGGGTACATGTGGCAGGCACAGTGATATGCCACCTAGCTTAGACTAGCTGCCCTGCTTCTTGAGGTGCTGTCAGCAGCAGTCTTCAGCTGTCAGCCTCATTAGGGACAGCTTCAACTGGCAGAGCAGCCTTGCCCAAGGCCACACCCCCTTTCTGGGGACAGTCCCCATCCAAAGACCTATCACATGGGAATCTCAAAGACCAGCCACTTGGGACAACCCTGATGAGCTATTTCAGCTCCAGAGAGACCCCCAAGGATTCAACAGGCCCATATGACAGCTCCATGTCTCTCTCCCGCTTTCTTCCTTCCCTCATGATAAACACACTGCATGCTAACCTTCACTTCAGTCTCCTCCCAGGGATGCAACTTTCAACAGTCTTCAAAGCATGTGAAGGTACATGGGTCCTTCCCTACTCTTTGCTAATGTCAGTCCTTACTGGCCATCAGCATTAGTGTGGCACTGAAGGGTCTCACAACTCCCTCTTGCCCCCTCATAGAACTTGACCCTCACTACTTCCCAGGAGTAGATAGTGCAGGCACAATGCCCTTTGTTTTATAGATGAATACACATAACCTGAGAGTTAGTAAGTGGAGGGTTTGGGCCTAAAGCTCCTGTCATACAAGCTGGCTCTCTTTACCCTGTCCCATGAGGGGTTAGGAATCACAGTGGGTCATGGAGAGGTGAGGTGGGTAGTATCAGAAGAGAAGCCTCCTGGGTAGATGTGCCTGGAGCCTGCCTTGGCTCAGATGGGGTCCAGCACTGAGGACTGGAGAATTTTAAAGTAGTCTGGGACAGCCCCTGCCCTGAGGCCTGGGACAGTCTCGGGGGGATTATTTGGGAGCCTCACCTCCTGGAAGCAGGACAGAGAACAGCAAACTCCAGTCCAGTGCTATTCACCCTACAAACTTTCTCACCTAAGGACATTATCTAGGGGAGTACTTATATAGAAAAATATTTGAAAATCAAGTTTAACTGAGTGTTTTTTTTCTGTATCTGGTAACTCTATTCCAACAATCATGTCAGGCAGCCAGGGTGAAAGGTGTTAACCCAGTGATACAAATAAGAAAAATGAGATACAAGAGAACTTCTAAGTCACATAGCCAGGATTTGGTCTCAGAGATTCAGTTTCCCAAAGAAAAGTAGACTGGGTTACACCAACTGGACCCTCTTTTTTTTTGATTCTGTCCTATTCTATTCCTAACAAACCAATGGCTTACTAGGTGAACCAGATCTCTTTTCCTGTCCAAGGAACCTATCTGGCTTGAAGGGTGACAGGTAGGGGCATAACACTCTGCAAAATTAATTTTAATTTCAATTATACAACTCATACATGAATATATGTTAAATTTAAAATATTAATCAAAAGGTTAAAGGCCCCTTTGTCCCCTCTTCTGATTCTAGTTCCTTCTTCCCCTCATAAAAAGTAGCCACTATTATGTTTATTTGCATGTTCTCTATCTCTTATAGTAGATCTGCATATGTGCACAGAAAAATTTTATTTGTGTGTTTTGCAGACAATTTTATCATATCGTATGTATCAACCAGCACTAACATTTTATATCTAGTAGTATGTCTTGGAGATCAACTTCATGTTTTTAAACTAGTGGATAATATTCAATAGTATAGTTAAACTACAGTTTATTTAGCCATTCCCCCTTTACTGGACCTTTAGGTTGTTTTCATTAGTTTTAACATCTATGACACCACAAAGAACATTCTTGGCAATACAGCCTGGTGCATGCAGACAAATGTTTCACTAGGATAGGAGATGAGAGGTGGAATTGCTAAGTCACATTAGATATTTTAAAATCAATCTGATAGTCCTTAACACACTGGGCCAGTTCTCACCCTAATCAGTGTATGAGACCACTCATGTGTGTGTTCACTTTGCAAGTTTATTTGAGTGCCTACGAATGAGTGGGCACAATTCTAGAAGCTGAGGGTGCAGCAATGAGCAAAATAGATGAAAAATCTATTCCCTCATGAAGCTAAAAATTAAAATGGCTAAAATGTTTAACTTTTGCCGATCTGACAGGTGGTTGTTTTATTGTCCTTTAACTTTGCCTTTTGCTTTCATTCTTTGGGGACTCTTGTAACAGGTAAAATCCAGATAGTTCACCACCAGAGCCAGGCAGTGAAGAATCTTGGGGTGCAGATGTATCATTACATGCATTTAATCAGTGATACAAGGTAGCAGCCACCAGTAGGATGGGGTGGGGGTGGGTGGGAGAAAGAACTGGTACCCTCCCAGCTAGTTTTCAAAAGGACCTGAGAGTCATGACTATACAGTAGATCTGAATGTAGCTTCTTCAACCCTTGACAGTCTTCCTTTTAAATATGTTAAATATATGTATGTAAACATATGTACCATTGATTATTAGACACACTATCAAATTTAATAACAGTCTTTGGGTTATAAAAAGGACATAACATTAAATGCATTCATTTTGCATTTCAGAATTGCAAACATATAAAAAGGAATTGTGCCTTATAATTGAGGACACATGATACCCCTTTGTCTGTTGAAGATTCTTTGACAGAATGAGTACGGTGACCTGCTTTTAGCTCTATAAAGATGTTCAGTTTTAAGTGAAGAGGAATGGAATATAACATAAGATTTTACTTCCTTGCCTACTCACTCCTCTTCTTACCCCTTTTTGAGTCTGTGTCAAAGGGACCAGGGCTCAGAATAGCTATCCTCATTGCTGCGGTGATGCTGAAAGTGCCACTTATACTGTAAGGACAGGGTTCAAGGGGCAGGGATCATAAGCATTTCTAGAAATGGGTTTTGACATATTGTATTATTGCAGAAATACTCACTGCCTGGCCAGTAGCTTGAAAAGGTCAGTCTAAGAATGGCAGGAGTAATTGTTAATTTTGTCAGTATGCTATATGGCCTACTCAGTGCTTAATATGATTTTTCTTTATTTATGCTTATAGCAACCCTGAAGGGGAAGTAATGCCATTATTCAAGATGAAGAACCAGGCTTAAGGTTGCACAGCTAGCAAGACAAGGAGCTGAGCCTGGAGGCCAGTTCTGCTGATTCTGAGTTGGGACATCCCTTGTTCTCCCTGAGTGGGAAGGGAACCTGAGCCTGGTGATCTGAATTGCTAGGGCTCACCTCTTGCTTTCCCTTTTACCCCTGCAGGACTACAGGATAATCCCTGGGTGTGTGACTGCCAACTCTATGACCTGGTCCATTTTCTGGAAGGCTGGGCCCCAAACCTGGCCTTCATAGAAGCCAGGCTGAGGTGTGCCAGCCCTCACAGCCTTGCCGGAGTGGACTTCAGCCAGCTGGAACTGAGGAAGTGCCAGAGTCCAGAGCTTCGTCCAGGGGTGGCCAGCATCACGTCCCCTTTGGGTAGCGCGGTGTTGCTACGTTGTGGGGCCACGGGGATCCCTGGGCCCGAGATGAGCTGGAGGAGGGTCAACGGGCACCCACTCAGTGGCACAGGTAGGTGAGCTATAGGGGCTGTTATGCTGAGATCTCAGGCTGGGGTTGGTGGGTCACTGTCCAAATGGGCAGCATGTTTGTCAAGGAGAGGAAAGTAATCTAAGCAGTGTTGTTTACTCCCATTCTGTCTGAGTAGAGTTGGACAAACTTCACCTAGAGGTAGGGCTTGGGGACAATGGCTTTGAAGATGATGACGATGGCTCCTAGTCTGTCCTACCATATTCCACTAGCCACTCTATCAGAGACTCAGGGTCTACCCTGAGAGGAACAAAATGCTGACTTTTTGGTGGAAGATACTCTCTTAGTGTACTTAATATTTATAGTAAGTTTCCCAGTTGTAAATATTAAGTCAGTATTACTAGGAGTAACTAATGATGAGTTACCATTTATTGAGCTCTTCTTGTGTTAAGTATATTATGTATTTAATGTCATAGGACTTTAAAGAACAACCTGAATATCCTTCTTATTTTGCATATAAGTAAACTGAGGCCCTGAGAGGCTAAATTGCTTGGCTTACATCAACAGCTCTTACAAAGAAGAGCTGGGAATCTAATATAATCTGGCCGACTCCACAGGGTGTGCTCTTTTTGCTGTGTAGACAGAGATAGTTCATCTCTAGCACTGAGTGGGGGTGGAGTGGGATGAGGAATTCAGAAGTCAGGGCCCACTCACATGCAGAAGAAGTTGAGGAGAAACAATTTCTTAGCACCTGACCAGAAAAGCTCACATTTCTTCCAGCTTTCTTCTGTGTCTCCCTCAACTAGATTAGTAAGCATTGCTCTAGGACTGTGGATTTGAAATCAATTTAAAAAGAAAATTGTATAAGGAACTCCATATCTAAAACAGGAAGTTGAAAATGCTCTGACTGAAGTGGCAGAGGGGCTGGGCAGGGATGGGCAGAGTGCTTCCAGCTGGGCCTCTGCCTCATATTCAGTCTGACCCATCTTATTTCCAAAGCACCTGCCCACTGCCCTTGAGGGGTCAGCTCTTCCAAACTCTAGGCCCTGAAGAAAACTGTTTGAACAACTCAGATTCAAGAGGCAGATCATTCCTAGGCTCTGCCTCAGCCTGGGGCTTCAGGGATGCCCCAAACTTGAGCCCAACTGATCTCAATCCCCTTGGATAGTCTAAGGAAAGCTGAATGACTCTCAGAGTTTTCTCAGGATGACTAGGTCTTCAGTAGTCCAGGGGCTGTGAACTTGGCCCTGGAAGAAAGGTTGGGGCAGATGGGCTCATTCATTCTCCCACATATGCCTCTTTTCCCCCTCCAGTGCACCAGGAAGTCTCCAGTGATGGCACAAGCTGGACCCTGCTGGGCCTGCCTGCTGTGTCCCATCTTGACTCTGGAGACTACGTCTGTCAGGCCAAGAACTTCCTGGGAGCCTCCGAGACTCTTATCTCTCTTGTTGTCACTGAGCCCCAGACTTCAACAGAAGGCGGTGGGAGCCCAAAGGCACCGTGGGAAAGGACAGGCGAAGGAGTGGAAGCTGCTGCATACAACGACAAGCTGGTGGCCAGGCATGTCCCCCAAGTCCCTGAGCCTGCTGTCCCGGCCACTGGGGCCCCTGTGCCCAGCATTAAGGAGGAGCTGATCCTCCAGCACTTCCAGATGGGTGCCCCAGGAGAGCGCTCAGATGGGCAAGTGGAACCCCAGGAGGCCCGAATGGTGCGGTCTCTCAAAGTGGTAGGGGACACTTACCAGAGTGTGACCTTGGTGTGGAAGGCCCCCCAGGCCGGGAACACAACCGCCTTTAGTGTCCTCTATGCAGTCTTTGGGCAGCGCAACATGCGGAGGATAGTTGTGCAGCCTGGGAAAACCAGGGTCACCATCCATGGGCTGGTGCCTAAGACCAAGTATGTGGCGTGCGTCTGTGTGCGGAGCCTGGTGCCCCGGAAGGAGCAGTGTGTCATCTTCTCCACCAATGAGGTGGCGGACGCCGAGGCCACTCAGCGGCTCATCAATGTGGTGGTGATCAGTGTGGCAGCTGTCATCGCCCTGCCCCTCACGCTGCTCGTCTGCTGCAGCGCTCTCCAGAGGCGCTGCCGCAAGTGCCGCACTGGGGGCTCCACTGAGGCCACGAGTGCTTATGTCAACCTGGAGAGCCTGGGCCACAGCGAGGACGGCTCGGAGGAGCTGTCCCGGCACAGCCTCAGCGAAGCTGACAGACTCCTCTCTGCCCGTTCCAGCCTGGACTCTCAGCTCTTGGGGGTCAGGGCGGGCAGACGAATCAATGAGTACTTCTGCTGAGGGGCCCACTTCCCCCATGGACACAGATGCCCACACATCTGCTCTGACCTCTCTCTTCTACTCCTACACACTCAATCTGACATCTAAGTTCATGTTCACCCACTCTTATCCACTTGGATACCTGCTTATTCATACATGTACACACAACAGCAAAAGTAGTAACAGCTAACACTTATTAAGCACTTACTATGTGCCAGAAAGTGTTCTAAGTGCTTTACATGCATTAACTCACTTAATTCTTATAATAGTCATTTGCAGCAGGACCACTATTCTCCCCATATTCCTAGAGAAGAAAGAGGGGGATTAGATAACTTGTCTATATCAGTCAGTTTTTGCTGCATAATAAATAAAAGCAAAATCTCAGTGGTATAGAGCAACAAGCATTCATTTCCAGACAGACCTGTGGGTTGACTGAAGTGGTTCTGCTCCATATATCTTAGTTGGGGCCTAGGATGGAGAGTCAGTGACTATCTGGTGCAGGCTCCTTTCATGAAGAGATGAGATGATATCAGAGGAGTGAGCAAAAACTTGCAATGCCTCTCCAGCTCTTGGCTTAGAACGGGCACTCTGCAATTTCTGCTTGTAATCTATCTGCCAAAGCCAGTGTTTTGACCAACCCAGCTTTCACAGGCCAGGAAAGGACAGTTCTCTCATGGACGTCATGGTAGGGTAGAAACTATTTTGCTCAGCAGCGATCTAATTTATTATATTGCCCACATCTACACAGCTAAGAGTGACTGCTCTGGAAGTTGGACCAGGCATTTGGTTCCAGAGTTGATAGCCTTAATACTCTCATATACCACATCTTGATTACATTTATGTTAACTCACAGACACACAGACAACCTTTTTATGCAGTATCCACATTTGTATAGTTACACACATACACACACAGAGACATACAACATGCCCTCACTGTGTACATTCACCAATTCCAACATTTTTTTTTTCCTCTGGGTGCCATTCTGCCTAGAGATAATCATTTAATTGTCAATACATTCTAGAAGTCTGGATGATGCCCAAGAGACTACTGCTCATTTACTCTAAGAATATCAGGCTGGAAGAATCTGAGAGACCCTCTGTGGCACGTGGCAAGTATACCCAATGCTGTCCCCGTGCAGCAGCCTTTGTGATTCTTACTGAAACTTACCTGGGTTCCTGAGGGTGTCTCAGAGCCTTCCCTGTTCTGAACAGGAGGATTTCTGTTTGGTTTGCTTAGAGCTGGGAAATCTCTGGGATGTCTCTGGGCACAGGAACAGGCAAACATTCCTGCAGAAGTGCCAATGTTGTATCTTATCTGCAGGACTGAGCTCTAAAGAGAAGAACATCCAGAATATTTGGTGCCAGGGCCTTTGGGTAACAGTTGAGAAGATTTAGGGACAACAAGTGATCCAAAGAAACTATTTGGCTAGTATCACGTAAGAAACTCCATATTATGTTGAACACTTGCCAGATATAAACAGTGTGTTGCAGTGATTTCTAAAGTTACTGTACTCTCTCTCACATTTACAAAAGACCTTACAACATATAACCTTACAACAATTTTCCTATTTTCTCTCATTTGACCCTACAAAAACTCATTATGGAGCTGGGCTACTTGACTTTACAGACTACAAAACTGAAGCCCAGAGAGTGGAATAATTTATAGAGGGTTGTGATGGATTTTTTTTGGAAGATCCAAGTCTTTGATAACTTTCTGGCCAGGCTGAGGGTCTATATTCAGTATTGATCTCTGCAATGCGATCCACAGCATGTTCACTACAGAAATGGATTTTTTTCAAGTCACTGAAACCTGGGATCAGAACCATGAGAGCATTGGTGCACACAAGCACAGAATTTCCTCACGTGGATGTTTTCTACACATCACCTGGAGGGTACCTCCACTATAACCTGTGGGCAATAGCCATTGGTAAGAGAAATTATTTGTTGGAAGATGACAAAGCTACTGTCTACGTCATGGGCCAGCAAACTTTTCTTTACGGAAAGCCAGATAGTAAATATTTTAGGCTCTATTGCTGCTACTCAACTCTGCTGATATAGTACAAAGCAGCCATAAGCAATATGTAAGTTAATGAGCATGGATGTGTTCCAGTAAGATGTTATTTACAAAAACAGATGGCAGGCTAGATTTGGCTCCCAAGCTGTAGTTTTCCAACCCTTGATCTAGATTTATAAAGGCATTTCTGCTGTGTCTTGAGACACGCAAGACTCAATTCTGGTTGTTTGATATATGAGATTGACAGGAATTCTTCAAATTAGAACAAATATAAGTGCAATAGATGAAAGCAACCATTTGTTGAAATGATCAGTGTTTTCTCTAGATGACTGGCTGGTCCAATTAAGATCGAACAAAAAA